TGCGGGAAGTCGCAGGGCACCTCCAGAGATGCAGCCCTAAGACGTGACCATAGCCGGCACCTGCCTCCAGGCTGGGACTCGCCGGCTTCCCCAGCATGGTCACATGCAGTCTCTCATCTCTGTTTTCTACGACAGCTCTGTGGAGTTGAAAGCACAGGGTCACTGTCTTCCTCTGTTTTACCAGTGAGGTAACTAAGGTTCAGAAAGTGTGGCTTTTCAGCTCCTTCAAATTAACGTGGACCACCCGACGACGCGTGCTAAGCCTGGGTACAACCCACTCCAAGCGTCTGCCATTTCTCTGGACCCGGCATCTTGTGCTTGGCATCCCTGGCTTCCTGACCTCCCTGTCTTCCCCTGATTTGAATTCCAGGTAATGGAATGCATTTGTACTTATAATGGAATACATAATTCTACATATAACTGTGTCTACTAGTAACAGTATATAGTTTGCCTTCTGAAGCATCTCAACAGACTGCTTTCTATGAGGTCCCAAGAATTCCAAGCTGTGGTCATCATATAGGTGTTAACATGTACACATAAAAAATGGTTTTAACAATAGACTTTCTTCTAAGTATAAAAGTAATGCATGCGTTCATACTATAAAATTTAGAAAATTAGGGAAATCATCCATAAGTAACATTCAAAAGGAAAGTATTAAGATAAATATCAGCATAAATATACAGTCCACCAAGATGGTGACTATCTTAAAAGTACACTCATCTGAGTATGTGAACAACGGCATTTACAATATAATGAATATTCACGTGTGTGTGTCTCACCTGTGCGCATTTTCCATGTCTCATCCTACAGTCTCCTCTCAAATACCCGAGATGGGCTGTGAGACACACACTGAGTCCGATGGTCTAGGAGGTCCCCAGGGGTGCTCACCTGCTGCTGTTCACCGGCATGGTCCCTGCCACACGGAGCAGGATATTCCAGAAGTGACAGGTCGTGATTCCAAAGGCTGGATAATAAAAACACCACGGCTTCCTCCTTGCTCTCTGGGATCACTCCCTCCGAGGCAATCAGCCACCACGTTGTGAGGACCTTGTGGAGAGGGACTGAGGTTCCCTGACAACAGCCGTGGGAGGTGCCGCCGGAGGCAGACCCTCCACCCCCTGCCCAGCATCCAGAGGCTGCCGGCCCAGCGACACCTGGACCCCAAACTCACGAGAGACCCTGCGCCAGAACCGCCTGCTGTGATGCTCCTGAGTTTCTGATTTGCGGAAACTGTGGATTAATAACCCTTTATTGTTGGTTTAAGCTGGCAAGTTTGCAGCAGTAGATAACTAATACACTGGATTTAAACCAGGCAACCTAATGAAATCCGGACTCGGTCACTTCCTAGGTAAGTGGCCTTGGGAAACTCACTTCATCTCTTGTTTACAAATTCTCTGAAACTGAGGGAACATTCCCCTCAAAGCACTGTTTTAGAGAGTAGACGCAGCCACACAGCACAGAGGCCCTGGCACAAGGCGACATTCTCGGGGTGACTAATTCACACCGGTTTACCCAGAGCTCCCTCGGTTTAGCCGACAGTCTGGCACCAAGACGCCTCGCCCCAAGCTGACGGAGACAGTTGGTCACTCTAGCATTCATTGAAAATTGGTGGAGGGTGAAAGGCGTCCCTGGTATACAGTTAAGCAAGGAAGTCTAGAAGCTGCAGGGAGACTAGCCCACACTCTACTTAGCCACACACAGAGATTCCAGATGTAGGATTTCATCACCGTATCTGTGAGAACTGGGTTCCAGGCTGCTTGTCTTAGAAGTTCTGCAGTGACCCCAGCGATGCCTGGTCTGCTGGGAACTCTGCTGCCTCCACCACTCTGGTCTCAGGGGAGAGTCTGGGCCTGCCCTGGACCGTTCTTTCTGAAGGATGCGATGGGGCCTGCTCCACACACCATCAACAAGACTATCTAGAACATCGCACTTCCTCACACACTGCTGAAGCTGGAGGGCACGGAGAAAAATGCAACCTTACAGATGCTACAAATGGCTGCTCCAGAACCCAAACTCAGAGCTGACCTCAGAGGCCCTCACCAGGCAGGGTCCCTGGCCAGCCCTGAGTCGGCCTCCGCCAAGGTCCCAAGCACCACCCTGGAGGGCCCACCTACCTCTGCCCTGCCTGGAGTTATCACCTGCAGACCTCCTTGTACTAGACATGAATAAATGCCTTTCATTCCCCTTGGCTCCATTTTCCAAAGAGCGACATCTGGGAAGCAGAGTAAAATGCTCCTTCCCCCGGGAGCACAGTTTGCCTCAGCGAAGGAGCCCAGGAAGGGAGAAGCAGGCAAAGACGGGAGGGCCCACCACTGGCCAGGACGCTGAGGCGGGTGCAGACTGACAGCACCTTGCCGTCAGGGGGAGCCCGTCCCCAGGCAGGCCAGGTCTGCTGGTAACTCTTGAAGAACAACCTGCTTTCTGTCCACAGTGATCATTTCAGAAGTCAAGAATAAAGGTAAGGAGTCCTGAATGAGTTTTCTTTCTTTTCAAAACAAAATGACACAGACCTGGGCTGGACCATTTGACAAACTCCAGTGCTTCGTGGATTCCCTGTAATTAGGAGTTTCTGTCTTCAACTACCGAATTACCCACAGCAGATGCACCAGGGGAACCGGGTAGGCTGGGTAACACACAGGAGTGATTAGCAGACAGACCCTGATGCAGCTGGTCCTGCGGATGGAGGTAGGAAGCTCGGGGCCCAGACGTGAGTGAGCACGTGTGTGCGACAAAGGCTGGGCTTCCTGCCGGTGGCACCTACTTCACGCATCACATGTCTCATTGGAGAGAAGAAGAATGTCTTCCAGAAATCCAGGCGCCCCGACGCCTGGTTTAGTGCTCTTTCCAGCAGCCTGAACAAAGTGACCTGCTGCTCTCAACATCAGGTCAAAGTAAATCAAGGGGAAGGAAGTTTTGACAAACAGGCTTCATTCCATCTGGTAAACAAGAGAAAAAGGAAAAAATTCCAGGCCAAGCCTTGTAGAGAGAAGCAGTAGTGAGTGCGCAGCCTGCAGGACACAGGGCGAGTGAAAACACCGAAATTCCGGCGCCAAGACAGCTTGTCTGCTAGGATGCTACACCGGGCGGGGGAGCGACAGCACCTCCCAAGCTTGGTTTCCTAGGGATTTGCTGTCGTGGGGCGGATATTTAGAAGCGAAGCATCATGCCATCCGCGGTTCCCCAAGACAGCAGGAAGCATCCAGGCCCCTAAAGAGTCAAGACGGACCTGCGCCAGCTGCCCCGGGTGACGGATGGGAAGGGAGCCCACGCTGACTGAACGTCCTCGAACTTCCACATGTATTCATTATGTCAACCTTGCAACAGAGGACAGTGTTAAGCACCCCAACTTTATGAATCACATCGAGTGACTTGAGGGCACGCGCTTAAGAAGCGGCAGCTCCCAGGGCGAGCTGCTGCCATTGTTCTAGAGTGAACGGCCACCTCCAGGCTGTGACCACGGCATTGACCATCTGAGACCATCTCCCACACCAGGGGCAGAGGTACTGTTTTCTAGCTCAGTGCAGGTTTCCCTGGACCCACAGCCAATCGTAGCTGGCCACTCATCAGAGCTTCTCAGCAAGCATGAGCCTCGAGGCTCAGCAGTTTCACTTCTGCAATCCTGCCTTCCGACACTGGGACTTAGGATACTTTCCACAAGATGGAGGGAGTATCAAGGTAACCGCATAAAATTCACACTCATTTATGCTTTTTTTTTTTTTTTTTCAAACTTGAAAATTCAAATTCCCCATCTGCTCACAGATCCTTGTCTGGCATTAACCAGACGCAGTGATACCCTTACATTATAGAGTGGGTGCAGAGTCAAGGAAGTGAATTGAATTTACAGCAGTTACCCTTTTTTGCCAAGAAACTCATCCAACTGGGGTTGGAAAACCAACCCTCAAATGTTGGGTATTAATTGGACCCTTGGCCAAGGCAATCGCTCTATCAGCCAATTAAGGCCCATGGAGCAAGAGAGAACTGTCATCCAAAGCCAACACACACAGCTCACGCCTGGTCACACGCCATTTCCTCCCGCCACCCCTTCATCTCCAGCGACTGGAGTTTCCCTTCTTCAGTCTGCTGGCAAAATCAGGGGGCTTTGAAAGCTCTCCAGGACCCAGCTACCCATGAGTATTAAAAAAAAAAGCCACAACTAGTTATTGAAACTTGTGGAAAGTTTGTGAATTTTCAATGCGGGTCCAGGAGGAGTTTGTGTTCTTCTGGAAAGAGACGATGACAAGCAGGGAACCAAGAGGAGTGGGAATTCTGGGGGCCGGTGGGCGGGTCGAATCAGCATGGAAGACAGTTTCCCACCATCTTTCTTTCCAATGTGGAAAGGAATCCGTACTCAGGACCTGCACTCTATCGTGAGTATTTCTAGCTCAATAGGTACTAGTAACAAACGTGTTGCCCATCTCTTATTAGTAAGACACACCAACCAGAAGCTTCCGCATCACTGGACTTCAACTGGAATCCAGACCGTGTCACTTTCTAGTCAAGAAACCCTGGGCGGGAACTTAAAACTCTCAAATGTCCATGCTGTCGACCTCGGTTGCCAAATGGTTTAAGTGAAAACTGCTTCACACACTTAACACACAGTACATCTCAGTAACTTAACCACTGGCACTACTGCTCCCCGATGACCATTTCCCCCAATCCTCCCTAAATCAGTAGGCGATTCCCCTCCACAAAAACAAGTATGAGATTGGATGTGAATTCAAGCCCCAAATCTGGATGACTGTTTGCTAACAGAGGCTGTGGCGTTCCTATGCGCAAGTATATACATGCAGTCCCGGTTAAGCCCTGGGAGACTTTCTGGTGGACTGCGGAGTGTCGGTACGCAGCCCCATGTGTAAGAAGCAGCAAGACTCTTTTCATATCTGACCAGAGGGGCAGAGAACCGAGGCAACTGCAATACAATTTCGGCCAAAGAGGGCAGGTTCACTTGAAAGATTCCAATCAGTAAGGGACAAGTAAAGGCTTTTTATGGATGGAATTACCTGGAAAGTTACTTCAGGCTCCCACAGCATCAGCATCCAGGGACGTGGCTCCCTCCAGCGCACAATCCGTGTGGTCGCGCACAGATGCAGTAATAACCGGTTATGATGGGCTGAGCTGGGGAGAAGGTAGGGGACATTCCCCGGTTGACAGTCATCGGCTCATGGGTCTCGATGGCAAAAGAAGTTGTCACTTGACTGAGTGGTGGCTCCGTGGGGCAGTGTCAGCAAGATCTACAGCTGGAAGAAAGCCAACATGATGGTCAAAAGCACAGAAACATTATATTTTGACCTTTCTGGCGTTACTGCTGGCAGTTATCCAAGATTTGGGACAGTCGGTTTTTTTCCATGAAAAATTTAGTGGCTACCACAATAATTCATGGAGTATCCTTAGAATTCTTTGCTTCCAAGCCAAACACGAAGAGTGTTATGAAAAAAATCACCCAGTGCATTCACCTGCGCTCGACTTCCCCATCCTTCGTTAAACCTTGTCATCTTCACATTTCTTGACATGCTTCCCTTTCCCACATCTGCCCTGACTGTTAAAGCAATACTGATGGCCCATCCACCATGTATTTTTATTGAGTTTCCTCAATATAAGTGAAATAAGTGGACAGGAGGGGACTGGGTTAGGACTGCACGTCGGGAAAATGCCTGTGTACTCTAAGTGTTCAGGGCTTAGTGACAAAGCAATCCATCCCCCGTGAGGGTCAAGTCATGTGCCAAAGACTCTGAAGATTTTAACAGAGAAGATGGAAAATTCTCTTCCAGGCAAAGAGACCCATCAAAACAGACTCTGCAGACTATAAAATGAGCCACAGGGGATTCACAGATGAGCCAAAGGCGTGTCCTGGGCGGATGGCGCCCCGCCTTCCCCACCTTGTGCAGCCTCTCCCACGGCACCAGACCGTGGTCTTTCCAATCCCTGCCTTGCCCCGGGGGGCATGTTTCCCCACCCACTACTAGACACAGTCCGTGCGGCACCCAAGGCCTAATCCCCGGATACCGAGGGCGGGAGGGACCGGCTCTTCCTCCAGAGGACACTGGTTCTAGGGGCCTGAAACTTACAACTTAACCTTTAAAAACTGCAATTTTAAAATATGTTGCATTTGTAAATTGGAAACTCATGAACTCTTTCAACCGCAGAGAAATGACGACATTAATAAAAGCCCTAATGAAATAATAAAAAGCAGGGTGCTGTTCAGGGGCCTCACTGCCATCTCAACACCCACGGATGAGGCAGGTGAAAGCCAAGATGAGTGAGAGGGCCGATTGTTGCCCCCCGTCCTGAGCACCGGAAAGTCAGGCTAGAGCTCTCACCTCCCTCCTGCTAAGAGCACGGGCCTGGGTCCCAGGTGCCAGGAGGGTGAGGGAGGGCAAGGGCTGACTACCGTCTCCACGGCCCCAGTGACCCAGAGCTTTCTGTCTGTTCCACCACAGGATCCCATCCACATGCCATAGAATAGGTACTTCTCTGCACGCTTTACAAATGAGGATTCCAAGACACAGAGACTCAGAGTAACTCGCCCGTTACACAGTTAACATGTTGCAGGACTTGTGATCAGAATCAGAGCCACGACTGTTGGGCACGCAGTATTTGGCACAGATTTAAAACCCATCTTAACCACTGTATCAGCACATCTCAAACTGACCATGCATTCCAGCCACCCAGGGAATCTTGTCAAAATGCAGATTCGGATTTTATCGGTCCGGTGGGGCCTGTGACTCTGCATTTCTGACCGGCTCCCAGGTAGTGTGGGTGCTGCAGGTCTTTGAGGAGTGAGGTGCTACATAATGCTCCCTCCTCTACATCTAAAGGGGGCGCCCACAAGTGGGAGAGGGAGGGGTGCCGAGGGGGCAGAAGCAGGAAGGGAGCAAGCTTTCCTTCCACAAAATGTCCCGTCCCCTAATGTGCATGTGACAGTTAAGAAACTCTAAAGTCCAAAACTTTCTTCCATGAACTCTCTTAACTTGGAATCGAATTCAGGCCCCGTGTGTCCATCTCACATATGCGATGTCTTTTCTGGAACACCTGGGCCTCAGCAGATCGGCCCAGTTTTGCATCGTAAGAAATCAGCCTTCAGGAGGAAGACTCTCCCCCAGGATGAAACCTCAGGACAGGGTAACGGTCACAGGTGAATGAGTCCTGCCACACACTCTGTGGGGAAGCGCAAGCTGCTTCCCCCCAGGGACACCCCAAAGTCAGCGAGGTCATCCAGGACTGGCCTCTGCCTGGGAGTGGTATCTACTGCTCAGTGACACTTCCTTCTTTGTGGAGTTTTTGGGGACACTTCACGGAAGCTGTGCTTTATTTTCACTGAGAGCATCAGGGGTGACCCTCGAGAGTGAGGTCAGGACACGGAGGGACACTTCAAAGACATGTGCAGGCCTCTGAGACTTCGGCCCAGCATGCACGACAGGAAGGAACTCGGGGGCTGGGCCTGGGCCTGAGCGGGGCAAGCGTCGCCCCCGCTGGCTTCTTGTGTCGCCCTTGGTTCCTGCTCACTCGGGGGCATCCTCCGTCTCCCCCACACGCGTAGCCTCTCACAGTTCTGGAGGCCAGCAGTCTGAGGTCACGGTTTCAGCGGGACCGCGCCCCTGCAGAGGCCCTCAGGGAGAGCCCGTCCTCCGCCTCCTCCAGCTTCCCGTGGCTCCAGTGCACCTTTGCTTCGGCTGCATCGCTGCAGCCTCTGCCTCTGTGGTCCCACGGCCTCTCCTCTCCTCCCTGGGTCTCCCTCCTGTATGTCTCCTATGAGGACACCTGTCATTTGAGTTCGGGCCACCCAGATAATCCAAGATGACCTCATCTCCAGATCCTTCACTTGATCACATCTGCAAAGACCCTTTTTCCAAAAAGGTCACATTCACAGGTTCTGGGAATTAAGACATGGACATATCTTTTGGAGGGGCTGTCATTTCAGCCCCCACTATGTAGATAGATATTATTTAGGGCTTCCATTAATAAGCTCCATTTTATTAAATTCCTCCAGTGTTCAATCTAATTTATCCTCTTCTTCTAGTTGCATAACTATTGCAACTGAAACAACTGTGAGTCCCCGGCATCAGTTCTACCGTGTCATTTTGGGCCACAAGCTCACAAAAGACTACATTTTTAAAAGGATGATTGTCAAACCAGATGCCAGGAGCTCTCCTGAGACACTCTATAATTCAAACCACAGGCTCCCAGGCTCTGTTTTAAGAAGGACAGTCCTGTAATAAAAATACCATATGTACTCTCCTTGCCCTTCCACAGGCTGAGTTGCACAAAAGCCTGTCACCTGTGAGCAGGCGAGCTTCTGCAACCTGATGGGTGGGTGCAGAGCAAGTACTTGCTTGAAATCTTTCAGCCGAGAAAGAGTCACCATGTCCACAGCCCCAAGACCGGGGTTCCAGGGATGCAGCTGTCGTAGAAGGAATGTCTATGGAGAAAGGTTTTTTAAGAGTAGCCCATTTCTTTAATCTTCCATTCCTCACTGCTGAAAGAACTAAAAAAAACGTAATCTGTTTGGGCCAGTGGAAGAGGAAGACTGGGGTTTATTTCTGCTTCACTTCCAAAATGCAAACAAGCAAAAGAAAACTTTAGATTTTCTCTGCATCCCAGATTGGTCAGGGTGGGAATTTGCCGCATGGCTGTCAATGAAAGTGGACTGAAGTGTGATTGGATGGGTGTAAGGCAGCGTGCCCAGAAGAAAGGGGGAAATGTAAAATGGACTGGAAAAGCTAAAAGAAAGAAAAACAAGTCTTTATCAAGAAAAGATTTAAATACACAGCAGCTGGGTATAATAAATATATTTGTTCATTTTAATTGATCAAACATCTCTCTTAATCTATAACTTTCGTTTTTCATGTCAGTGAAAATTCTCTGACTCAGCGTATAAAATAGCTAATAGAGTTTTTTTATTGCCACAACCTAGCCATATTTCCCTTGATGTGCCAAAATAAAACATAAAGAAACTCTGGTTATTGTTTTTAAAAGACTTAATTCCAGCCGTCATATAACATCTCTCTGGCAACATGAGAGCGACACTCAGCCCAGTTAGGAACACAAACCCTCAGCAGCACTTCTGGTTTCTAGACACCATCTAACGTCTGGCTCACTTCTGTTCCATGTTATCTTTCATTTTATGCAAATACTTTTTTCATTTTTCCAATGTATTCTTGGATATATACAGATATTTACACACCAAATTACATGAAGAATTAAAAAAATGCTCCAAGTGGAAACCACCTTTACGTCTCTGTTTTGTTCTGGGTATTTCAGGCAAAGAAAATTTAATCCGTGTAAGTGTTCATATAAGTAGCTCCAACAATCCATATACGTATCTCAACATTTATCTTCCTTTTTTCTTTGTTTCTGTTGGAAGCTTCTTTACTTAAAAAAAAAAAAAAAATCTTGCAATACAGCATCCCTTTGAATAGAAATTCCATTAATAGGCCAGGATTATGTAGGAAATAAAGTGAACTAGGACCGGTATTATTCACTTATACTTACAGTTTAATACCATATTATTAAATTTTCAGTTCCTATTATTAAAATGACATTTATATCCTGTTCAACTGCCTGGATAAAAAAAAAAAACAGCTCTTGAGAAGCATGGTGTCCAAATGCAGAATAAACTATAATACTTAGAATTAATTGCTTCTATTACTCAAAAAAATAAAAAGTATAATGTAAATGCTAAAGGTTGCAAAGAACAGCTGGAAAATATTGCCCTCTTGATAGAAGTTACCTTAATTGTGAAATAATTCCCAAGCCAGAATATCATTATTTAAATTTGCTTTTCTATCCCCTGGGCAAGATTTTATTATTCTGTGTCTAACTAATAAAGTTTCCCTCAGTTGTTTATTTGCAGTTATTGCTGTCAGTTGCCAAGCCAATAAAATACATAAACTCTATTATCACAAGAAATATGTGTGTTTTATAGACATTTATAGTAAATTTTCTTTGCATTTTACAGGTTCTGTAACCAATACTGAGTCTCTAAACATCCAAGACAGCTTCTGCCCTGAGGGAGCATTTCCCAGCTGCTACATTAAACATTAGTCACTACCTATTTTGTAAGATTTTTAAATTAATGCATGTTATGACTCCACATTTAATTAGTACTCCATTCATCCAACTGAGCACCTACTGGATGCCAGGTGCTGTGTCAGGCCTGGGGGATGAATAAGATCTCACCAGTGACGGAGAGCTCAGTGTTTCCTCACCATATAGACAGTGTAGACCTTGGGAAGGGATA